GGGAGTGGGGGTCAATTTTTCTGTAACAAACAAATGCAAAATAACCAATTTTATACATCAATAATAAATGAGTTAATAAAAAAAAATTGTGGTGAATAATACAAATATTTCAATAATATTACTATTAGTGAAATGAAAAATAATTTTTAGGGTAATTTGTGTTTTTTTCTCCTAAAAAGTTGATGTTTACAGAGTAAGCAAATCAGCCCAAAAAAGGTGCTGACTAAAATACTGATTCTATATATTTTTTTTTAAAATCATGCAAAATACAGAAGAAAGCTTCAAATCAGCTGATGGTTACCAAATTTGATACTTTTCTTTTCTAGTTTGATCTCTGTAAGTTAAAGATTTCATCTTTTTTCATAATAATGTACCTCTATGTAGGGTTTAGGGAAAAGGGTAAGTTTTGATTATGTTAATATTTTGTTTAATAGCATCATTAATTGTGAAAATGAGCTAAAGATTTGATTTTGAGAAATGGGGTTCTTGTTTCTTGGTGGATATTTACATTTACTCGCTGAACTTTGTTGAATATCTTGGATTTTTGGGGAAATTGAGGTTTCTTGATTTCGTATGTAATTTTTTTCCCCAACATTTTCAATCTATAGGCTGTGGTGTTGTGGGATGGGAGTGGGGGTGGCGTAGTGAGGTGGCATGCCACGTGGTGTCCATTTTGCGAAAAATGTCAGTGGCACGTGTGATTGGGCGTCCACCTTGGAAAGTCTTAACGGGGGAGAAGGGGTGTATATGAGTCACTTCAGTAACATATGATTAGTTTTGTACGAAGAGTAAAACTGATCCTTTTTGCACGATAGATGAGCAAATTTGTCCCGTTTTCCTTTCGTTGTTGTTCATTCATTTCTAAGTTGAAGGTCATTTCGCTAAGTTTACATGTATTATGAAAAAAGATTATGCAAACATATAGGATATTGAAAGTAACCTTTTAGTGGCTTTGTATTAAGAGGTGCACTTGGGACGGATTGAGAATCTTGAGTTTATGCTCAGTTAACCGGATTCTGAATAAATTATTTATACAAATACAACTTTGTGATCCATATGCCTGGATGACAGAGTAATGTGATATCTGCAATTTATTATTTGCTTTCTATTTGAAAGAAATAACAATTGCAACTAATGGCTGCATATTTGTTTTTTCAGATTGTGCATTTGACACTGTGTATCAACTTCAAATTTGCTATCTGTGGACATGATATATGTTCAGGTAAATGTTTAATGCATTGCAGACAATGGATTGTACATAATGTATTTACTTCGATTCTTGTGGGATTACACTGGGTATGTTGTTGTATTTAAGTCGATTGTTTGTCAAACATGGAGATGATGGATGTCATATGTGTATGTGTCAATATTTTCCTCAGAAGGCTGAGTTTTTAAACTAATTTGCTTTGTTTATTGTAAGTTCAACTTATACTTGTCTGCATGAACTGCCTACTGGCATTGATAGAACTGCAGTCGTTCAACAGGAGTAACATTAAAGTTATTCGATCAAATACCTGCAAGTTCTATATAGAAGAGATTTTCGATTTTAGAACTTTTGAATAGTTTATTGAGAACTCTGTCTAATTGTTTTCTCACACTACTAGTGATGAAGAACATTTCGCGATCAAGAAAATGCATGTGTTTTCCACAGTGGATGGCTTTGTAGAGATAACTGAGTCGTTGATGGACATGATAAAGTTCATTGCAAACGAGCCCTCAGCGGGGCTTTTCTATGTTCAACAGCATACCCACACTGCAGTGCCAAACCTCATCAATCTCACTAGCAAAATTGAGGGAAAATCTCATGAAGTGACTTTGCACACAGCAGATTCAGAGGATTCTATCGTCATGGTCAGGTCAATGAGAGAGAGTGGATTCTCAATTGCTAATGAAATGATGAAAAATCTCAGGCATTCTCTAGCTGTTGTGTCTGAGAAGCAGCTGAGAAACGGATTTATAAGAAGACCAAGTTCAAGTGTTCGTATAGGAAGAACTATCTCGTGGAATCCTGCTACTTGGGGTCGAAAAACAGGTCCAGAACAAGATGGTGAGGGGAATGCTGATTATATTTCAAATGTTTTCAAGTCAGCAAAAGAAAAAGCTAGTAGCTTCAAATGGCCTCAGATGGATTCCATAGAATCTAAACCATCCAAGAATGATGAGCCATCTGTGACCTGTTCTAATGATGACACGACGTTGGCAGCAGATGACAGCTCTTGCACCAGAGGTCAACAACGATGAAACGTTGCTGTTCTCATGCCAAACTGATGATGTTCTACAAGACGTATGTGTGTAGGTAAATGAAACCATGTCCCATGATCGAATTTTGTCTTGAGAAGCAAGCTTGATGTAGCTTTGAACTTGAAACAACTCTTTTTGTTTGGATACGATTTTACATGTACCACGTTTGATGGATTTTTGTACTAGAACATGAAACGTAGAAACGAGAGATTATCATACGTGTTCAAAGGAGAAGGAAAGAGAGAGCTTCAATCTAACCATATAATAGTTGTGTTGAACTTTTAAAATAACAAATAGTTGAAATGGGTGCCCTGATCCTCACATTACAGAGGCAAAACAAAGACTGCAGCCTCAATAGTTAGTCACTCAATGAACAATATAATGAAAGCTACATTTCCAGACTTCTATAACACAGTGTACGTTAACCTATGTAGAACAGCTAGTAAAGTAACCTTACGCGACTAGACAACTATCTTCACTTTCAGGGAGAACAATGTCTAGCCTCATCACAGGCTTATACTTGAGGAACCTTACGCGACTCTCTTCACTGTCAGGGAGCACAATGTCTAACCTCATCATAGGCTTATACTCAAGGAACCTTACGCGACTAGGCAACTCTCTTCATTTTCAAGGAGCACAATGTCTGGCTTCATCATAGGCCTATACTTGTGAGGTATCAGGCTACATACAGACTTCAAAGCTGCCATGACCTCATCCTCTTGCAATTTTCTGGAGTCATAACACCTCACCATCGGTAGTGCCTTGACTAGCTTTTTGTTCCTGGGTGCAGAGAATAGTGATGCTTCAGATTTCTAATTGAAAATATTGTACAAGGAAGTTGCTTCAATTGAAAAACATAAATAAGTATCTGAATATTACTATTAAGTTAAGACGGAAAGAGAACACTAGAGTTGATTAGTTATACAAGACAAACCTGAGAAGTGAACCTCTATTGTCTCCATTTATTCAGATCATCTACTTTCACCTTATCATCATAGTTCACCCATTTGAGACTCGGTGTACTCACAAATATTCCCTGTTGGACAAACGTCTTCATTTCAGGGAAGTCATCAATCAACACTTCCCTGAGAAAGGGAAATTCAAGAGCATCATTCGTCAGAAAGAAATGCCCCAGCTTAGGCAGATCCCAAAGCTTCAGCTCTTCCAACAGGCCGAAACAAGGTCATGATTCCTTCTCCTTGTTGTTCCTCTTTTGTGATCACTTCTTCCATTGATTGACAACCATCTATATTTAGTATTCGGAGATTCAAAGCACCTCTGGCCACTGATGGAGACATCAAGTTTCTCAATTTTCCACAATCTGATACCTTCAGTAATTGAAGTTTGCTGAAGTTGGTGAGAGCATAGAGAACTTATGCTGTTAGGCCGAATGATATATAGCCTTTTCAGGTTGGGACAAGAAACCTGCAAATGTTGAAGACCATGTATTTTATATAAGGGATGAAAATTCTAAATTGCTTCAAGTACAAATCCAAAAATGAACCATATCTCATCTTACATCAAGGTAACAGGAAGTGAAAAACTAAAAAAAGTTGCTTTAAGTGATGAACAGAAATAACTATCTAAAGATTACTATTGCTATTTACTAGTTAATACGGAAAGAGAGCAGTAATTAGTTATACAACTAGCGGCACAAGACATACCTTAGAATTGAATATTGCTTTATTGAGATCATGTACTTTCACCTCTTCAGTGCGCTCTTCAATGAGGGTCCTTTTGGATCTTGAACATAATTAAAGGGAAACACCTCATCCGCTGTCAGCTTGGATGCAAAGTTCTACAGCTGCTGGAATTCTGTTTCTTGATTAATGCGCGTGCCAAAAGGATCATACATATGGTATGACTCGATAGGAATTAGCACATCATCAATCGATCCCTTCTTCCAGGAGTGGAAGCTTCTGCGACTATCGTTGGTTTCAGTCCTGAATCTCATGACTATTTTGAGCAATATGGATTTGTGAGCATTCACTGCAGGCAAAAAATAGTAACTTAGTTGACAAAGAAATGGCACTGGAAAATCGATGCTACTTAGATACAGTTGGTCACACAAACAGTTATTGATGTTTTCAGATACATCCAACTTCTGCTTTCAAAACACATACATACAAATACAGTTGGATCACACATACAGATAGAATTAAATACTGTAACTGCACGATTTCAGTTAGCATTAACAAAAATCTCACTGCATTTTACAAAAACACAGCACTAATAGTTATACAACTAGCGGCACAAGACAAACCTTAGAATTAAATATCGCTTTATTGAGATCATCTACTTTCACTTCATCATCACCTTCCCATGGTCCTTTTGGATCTTGAACAGCCACACATAATTAGGGGGAAGCAGCTCATCCACTATCAGCTTGAATGCAAAGTTCTACAACTGCTGGAATTCTGTTTCATGCTTAATGCGCATGCCGAAAGGATTATACATATGGTATGACTCGATAGGAATTACCTCATCATCAATCGATCCCTTCTTCCAGGAGTGGAAGCTTCTGCGACTATTGTTGGTTTCAATCCTAAATCTCATGATCATTTTGAGGAACACGGATTTGTGAGGATTCACTGCAGGCAAAAAATAGTAACTTAGTTGACAAAGAAATGGCACTGGAAAATCGACGCTACTTAGATACAGTTGGTCACACAGACAATTATTGATGTTTTCACATACATCCAACTTCTGCTTTCAAAACACATACATACAAATACAGTTGATCACACATACAGATAGAATTAAATACTGTAACTGCACGATTTCAGTTAGCATCACTGCATTTTACAAAAACACAGCACTAATAGTTATACAACTAGCGACACAAGACAAACCTTAGAATTAAATATCGCTTTACTGAGATCATCTACTTTCACTTCATCATCACCTTCCCATGGTCCTTTTGGATCTTGAACATGCCACACATAATTAGGGGGAAACAGCTCATCCACTGTCAGCTTGGATACAAAGTTCTACATCTGCTGGAATTCTGTCTCATGCTTAAAGCGCGTGCCAGAAGGATCATGCATATGGTATGACTCGATAGGAATAAGCACATCATTAATCGATCCCTTCTTCCAGGAGTGGAAGCTTCTGTGACTATTGTTGGTTGCAATCCTGAATCTCATGAGCATTTTGAGCAACATGGATTTGTGAGCATTCACTGCAGGCAAAAAATAGTAACTTAGTTGACAAAGAAATGGCACTGAAAAATCGACGCTACTTAGGTACAGTTTCCACATACATCCAACTTCTGCTTTCAAAACACATACATACACATACAGTTAATCCAGCTTCAGCGATGAAAACATATACATACATGTACAGTTGATCACACATACAGTGAGAATTATATACTGTATCTGCACGATTTCAGTTAGCATTAACAAAAATCTCACTGTATTTTACAAAACACGGGCGCTAATAGCACTAAATTAACATCGATGTATTCATCTATGCAAATTTTGACCTTAAAACTATTGAACAGATTGAAGGAACTTGACAAGCTGTTGTTCTGTGATAGTTTAATGCTTTCAGATAGACTAAAGATCCCAGCAACATAAATGTTTCAACCGATCATTCCGAGTACAAATTCAAGTTCACTTACACAATGAGGATAAAGATCCCTTTGAAGATATCGGCAAAGATAGACGTTACGCAGAGGCAGAAAGTTCTCCCTCATCTTGAGCAGTTGAGCAGAATGTTCAAGCCTGATATGGAAGCAATCAAACAGAGGACTGAAGCTTTTATCATCTGAGAAATGCTTGGAAATAGACCAAGAAAATCTTAACCTGCACAAGTACTTGGGCCTAACGCAACTGCTCGAGTACATCTGAGACAAAAAGACCTCTAATAAGTTAGTAGTGTAGATCATGAGGTGTTACAACACATTCAATTCAATGGAGAAAAGATAAAGAGAATCAAAATTTTCAAATTGCTTACTTATGTAAAAGACGCCTTTTCACCTGTTACTCTGCTAGCAATAGTGAAATCTTTCTCATGACAATACATGCACAATAGCACACAATAGTACAGTACATAATTCTTTCCTCTTAAGCTAACGAAAGAGCTGCTCAAATACATTTTGTAAAGTGCCTGCACACAATAAGCAAAAGAGTTGATAGACACCTATAACGGATTCCAATCACCTGCAAGACACAACATCAAGGTCGATAATCAAATCTATGCTAACTGTAATCACACTGTCATAAATCTAGGTGGTTTTTAAGACGGGCTATTAGAACACAATCATACAAAAGATATTATACAGAAGCTTAAAAGCTGTAAGATTTAATTGAGGAAAGAGAAAAATGGCATAAAGATAATTACCATAGAAGAGCCAAGAAATACAAAGTTTCTGCTCCCACAATATCGTCTTTTACCAACCACCATGATTTGCACCGGAAGACGAAGCACATGTACCCGTGCTATCTTCAAAAGTATTTGAAGCATGCAAAGAGTTACCATCAGCCAATATTATTCCTCCAACATTAGGATTCAGAGGGGTAGAAGTAGAGCCAGTGACACCAACCCCAAACTTCTCACCAATGCTTGAACCCAAAAATTTTACTACCAATTTTAATTCACTTCTAAAATTCTAAACCTACCCCTAAAACCGGTTTGATCCTGAATCATTTCCATCTCCTGCCATGAATAGAAGACGAGGTAGATCAGGCAGTAAACTGTCTTTAGATGAGGTATCCAGTGATTTTCTCGGTAATACCAATGAAGAACAGTCTGCATTGGTTTCTTCATCTTCTTCAGGTAAAGTTAGCAAAACCCAAGTGAAAAGTTCTGATTCTGCTAATAGAAATGTTAATTCTAAAGTGGTTAGAAGTAGGAAGTCGAGAAAGGAAGTTGTTTCGGATGAGGCTATTTGTATAAACAAAGAGTCAAATTCTGAGGCTTTAGTTGCGTTAACGGCTGGATTTCCGTCTGACTCATTAAAGGATGAAGAAATTGAAGCTGGGGTTGTTAGTGTAGTTGGCGGGATAGAACAATGTAACTATATTTTAATTAGGAATCACATTATTACGAAATGGCGTGAAAATGTGTCGATTTGGCTGACGAAGGATATGTTTGTTGATATTATACCTGAAGGATGTAGTGGGTTATTAGATTCTGCATATAACTACTTGTTATCGTACGGGTATGTTAATTTTGGGGTGGCGTTGGCAATTAAGGACAAGATTCCAACTAGGCCAAGTAAGGGAAGAGTGATTGTTATTGGGGCAGGTCTTGCTGGGTTGGCGGCTGCAAGGCAACTGATGTTGTTTGGATTTGAGGTAATTGTTTTAGAGGGACGGAAGCGTGCAGGTGGAAGGGTGTATACGAAAAAGATGGAAGGAGGGAATAAGGTAGCAACTGCTGATTTAGGAGGGAGTGTTTTGACAGGTACATTAGGGAATCCACTTGGTCTGTTGGCTCGACAGTTGTCGTATACACTTCATACGGTGAGCGACCAATGTCCACTCTATCGTGCTGACGGAAAGCCCGTAGACGAGTATTTGGATAAAAAAGTGGAGGTTGCTTATAATGAACTTTTGGACAAGGCAAGCAAGGTCAGACAAGAATTATCTCCGATTATTTCTCTTGGAGAGGCATTGGAGACTTTGCGAAAGGATTTTAGTGTTGCGATGAATGATGAGGAGATGAACTTGTTTAATTGGCATCTGGTGAATCTGGAATATGCAAATGCAGGTTTGCTTTCACAACTTTCCTTAGCATTTTGGGACCAAGATGACCCCTATGATATGGGAGGGGATCACTGCTTCTTGCCCGGTGAAAATGGAAGATTAGTTCATGCCCTGGCTGAAAATGTGCCTATTATGTTTGAAAAAACTGTGTATGCCATTCGTTATGGTAGAGATAGTGTGAAGGTGATTACTGCGGACCAATTATTTGAGAGAGATATGGCATTGTGCACAGTTCCTCTCGGAGTTTTGAAGAGTGGTTCTATCACGTTCATTCCAGAGTTGCCTCAGCAAAAACTTGACACAATAAAAAGATTGGGGTTTGGACTGTTAAATAAGGTTGCATTGATATTCCCGTATGTGTTTTGGGACTCCAATATTGATACATTTGGTCATGTTGCTGATGATTCTAGTTCTCAGGCTGATGGAAATCCTGTAGACGAGCATTTGGATAAAAAAGTGGTACTTCCGGATAAGGCAAGCTCAGGCAAGAAGTTTTCTCAGGACTGGAAGCATAGATCCATATCGTCATTACAAGAATATTCAAACTTGGAGGAAGTGAGATCCCTTACCACAAACCAGTAGAAGGGTCAATTTCTTACTTGCCAGAGCCTAGAGGCGTAGAGCTAAAGCAGCTCGCAATTACATTAGTTCTGATATCCCCAACAGATAAAGTGGTTCCATTGCCGCTGTCAAATTTTTTAGCCTTCCTGAGAAACAAGTTAAAAAGGGGATCCATGAAGAAGCTGAAACTTTGAACAAAAAAAGAAAAGACATACTAAAGGAAAAAAATAGGAAAGAGGAAGCTAAAGAGAAGTTGGGAAAGACTCATACCTGACTATTTTTTACTTGATAGTGGCTGCTCTCGACTTTACAACACCTTTTAAGCACAAAATATAAGAAATGTTAGCCTATATGCTACAGCTGCAAACGACATAAATATTTAAAAGTAAACAATGAAACAGAACCAAAACCAAAAACAAAAGAAAATGCAGAAACTAATTTGAATTGACAAATAAGGGAGAATTATTTGTCCTTTAATGAAGATATAAAAAATCTAGTAATACATATCACAGACAATTATTGTATTCATTTTTTTGTTTATAGTGACAGTAAATTTACGGTAAAGTTATACTATGCAAGTAGCTAAAAGTAGTATCAAGGAGTATAAAAGAGGTTATGAGCCTGCATTACAAGATTAGCTCTCCTAGGTAATTATTTAAAGGTATGATCATGCACACTAGTGCGGTTATTCTTCATCTATATATAATCCTTGTAGAGCTTTAAACAAGGAAATAAAATCCGGCTAGACGTTAGATATCAAGTTTCCTTTAGCGCTAAACAAAAAGATGTTGGTGTTAAAACAACTATATATCGTAATATCTTTCTAACTCTAATAGGTAAATATAGCCTTAGGAAATGACTATTCAAATGACCTTTTAGTGCGGCATATGAATGTGGTCTATATTAGTGAAACATTTCATACTTTCAAATATCTTAACTCTTTTGCATATGAATGTTGTCTATATTAGTGTATCAGTCAATATAAATTTTCAATATCTTTATCTCTAAAGAGTAACTAAGAAAATCAATGCATTGGTTTTGGAAGGATAAATTATACTTTTAACGGTAAAATGGTCAGTCAACCTTTGGAGAGCTTTTTGGACTTGCAATATCTTACTTTATGTTCCCATTTTTAGTCTCGGGGCATGCACGTAGCTCATGTACCATGTTGCCAATAAGTAAAATTTTTTTTACAAAATCACGTTAATATTATCTTAAAATGTGTTTGATCTACTAAGTATAAAAATTAAGAATGATTAATGGTTATCCTATTTAGCTAGCTCGGTGAGGAGACAACACACCATCTCATAGAAATCCGCGAACGCTCGATAGTAATTTTGATGTTTTGTTTTGTATTTACACGATACATGTGCCAAGAGTCTACTGGAAATAACCTCTCTACCTCCCCCGTAGGGGTAAGGTCTTGTTAGACACTACCGTCCACAGACCCCCCTTGTGGGAATACAGTAGGTATGTTGTTGTTATTGTAACTATTACACCTTTTTTTTAAAACAAATTTAAATTGCAAGATTGATAGTTGAAGATCAAACAAATTAAAAGATTGAACAATACTATCACTTTGTCAAGATGAATAGTGTGAAGTTCTTTTCATAAGTTTTATAGCAACAACTTGTGTTACAATATCTCCTCCCAAATTCATCATTGTCCATTTCAACCCTAGCTATTTGAGAAAACCTACTTATATTTAAAATCATATACCCTTTAATATATTATTCTTAAATACTTGCCAATTTGAATTGAACTCACATTTTGTAAATTAAGAATACAATTTTTTTAAAGATTGAGTTCAACACACTTATTCATTATATAAAGCTTTATTGATTTCGAAATATTTTTGCTTAAAATTACTTAATAGTTATTTTTTAATCTTATTGAATCTCTTTTAGGGCCTAGAAAAATATCCTTTATTATGCTCTTTTACTTTTAAGTATGTGCTTGTAATAGACACAAGTACTTGCACATAACATCAAAAGCTAAATTTGTGCTTGCTTGTTAATTACATTGCTATCTATTACAATGTTTCCTTAACTTTTTCTACAGCCTATGTGTGGGCACATCATGAGAGATAAGATTAGAAATAAAGTTATTCAGAAAAATGCGGGAGTGGCCCCCGTGGAGGACAAGATGCGGAAGTGAAGTTGAGATGGATCGGTCATGTAAGGAGAAGATGTGCATATGCCCCGGTTATGAGGTGTGAAAGGTTGGCCGCTATAGACTTGAGGATGGGTAAATGTAGGCCTAAGAATTATTGGGGGTGACGTAACTAGGAGGGATATTGCATAGCCTCAGCTCACCGAGGACGTGGTCCTTGATAGGAGGGTGTGGAGGTCGAAGATGAGGATAAAAGGCAGGTAGGCGGGCATATTTCTTCCCCATTCTCAGAGTATTAGCATTATTCTTCTTGTTTTTCCCTATCTTCAGATTACTATTACTACTTGTTATTATTTAATCTCGTTATCTTATTTTCTTGTTATTGTTGCCTCTTTTTCTTTTGTTCGTTCAGCTGAAGGTCTATCTAAAACAACGTCTCTAGCTTCTCAAGGTAAAGATAAGACTTGTATACACTCTACCCTCCTCGGACTCCACCTGTGGGATTACACTAAGTTTGTTGTTATTGTTGTTGCTAAAGGATATATAGCCCACAATTATTACATTACACCAACTAAATTTACCCCTACTTACTGGTCTTGTTGCTTGCATTTAGCCTATCTGGTTATCTTATTTCAGCATTTAGTGCATAAAATGAGCATGAAAACAATGTTGATATAGCAAAATGATAGATGGGAAATGAACTACTTCCCGAGCTAATAAAATAACTCGGGCATAAATAGAAACTAAATCATACATGAGCAATTAGTAAATAGAATGAAGAAATAAGATGTTCGTAGAAAGAGATTAGTTAATTCTACACCATACACGATAACGGTCAATTATTTAAAAGCAACATAATATTTTGTGTCAAAGTAAGTTCTTGACTGTCAGTGTCTAAATAAACATTACACATGTCTTTTAAAAAGATCTGAAGTATACCTTATCTCATTTTTTTTTCTCAACCTGCAAATGCGATGTTCTAACACTAGCGTGGTGGGCCATCTTTGCTCTAAGCCCAGTGAGAAATGCTCCATGCATAGTGGCTGGATAGTGCCTGGTAGTCGCCTCACCAGCAAAGAAAAGTCTTCCTTCCCCCACAGTTTCTGCTAAAATGTCATAGTCATCTCCTGATGCACCCACAGCAACATTGGAGTAGGAACCAAAGCTGAACGGATCACTACCCCAGCTTGTAAATACAATTTGGATGGGATTTGGGACGTTAATTCCTTGTGGTTCATATATACCTGGTAACAATGCCCAAATCTCATCAATACATTAGCTTCATGACCATAAGAAATATAAGTTTCATCTTTAATATAATCGCTGCATTTTAAAATATATATGCATACGTAGCAGCAAAAATCAAAACGATAGATGATGAAATTAACTCTGAAGTATATAGTTGAGACAAGAAATATGTTATAGGAGTCCTTTAAGGGGTAAAGAGTAACAGATTACTCACTTCTCTCAATATGTTACTCTAGAGGTTTCCCTGTTTTAAGAAGAGACAGAAAGTTAAACAAAGCAAGATCCAGTGTATCTGCTTTTAAAAAAACAACTCGACTTCATATTCCAGAGTATCTCAATTCTCAAACAAGACGATATATACATGCTTCAAACTGAAATCAACGAATACGAAATGGGCATGACACTAACACTCTTACAACTACTTAACTCTAGACCAAGATAACATGAATTCACTTCTCGAGCATGTCCATTCTTATTTTATTGCTCGCAGAGTTTATTATTCTTTACTCGTTACTCTGCCACCAAATACTATGCTATTCAAGAGAAAGAAAAATATTATTTTGGTATATTGAAAGCAAAGTTAATGTTGAACCTGACATTTACCTTTTAAAATTTGAAGTACTTTTGTTACTGCATCAGTAGGAGCCATTCTCTCAAACTTGTGTGCAGCTTTTCCTGCGACTAGAGCTAACAATAAGGGGCCACCAGCAACTGTTGCATAATTGTAGAACAGAAAGAATTCCCCCCGACAACTAGAATCATCAGCAACATGACCAAATGTATCAACATTGGAGTCCCAAAACACATACGGGAACAACAATGCAACCTTATTTAAAAGTCCAAACCCCAATCTTTTTATTGTGTCAAGTTTTTGCTGAGGCAACTCTGGAATGAACGTGATGGAACCACTCTTCAAAACTCCGAGAGGAACGGTGCACAATGCCATATCTCCCTCAAATAGTTGGCCCGCAGTAATCACCTTCACACTATCTCTACCATAACGAATGGCATACACAGTTTTTTCAAACATAATGGGCACATTTTCAGCCAGGGCGTGAACTAATCTTCCATTTCCACCGGGCAAGAAGCAGTGATCCCCTCCCATATCATAGGGGTCATCTTGGTCCCAAAATGCTAAAGAAAGTTGTGAAAGCAAACCTGCATTTGCATATTCCAGATTTGCCAGATGCCAATTAAACAAGTTCATCTCCTCATCATTCATCGCAACACTAAAATCCTTTCGCAAAGTCTCCAATGCCTCTCCAAGAGAAATAATCGGAGATAATTCTTGTCTGACCTTGCTTGCCTTGTCCAAAAGTTCATTATAAGCAACCTCCACTTTTTTATCCAAATACTCATCTACGGGCTTTCCGTCAGCACGATAGAGTGGACATTGGTCTCTCACCGTATGAAGTGTATACGACAACTGTCGAGCCAACAAACCAAGTGGATTCCCTAATGTACCTGTCAAAACACTCCCTCCTAAATCAGCAGTTGCTACCTTATTCCCTCCTTCCATCTTTTTCGTATACACCCTTCCACCTGCACGCTTCCGTCCCTCTAAAACAATTACCTCAAATCCAAATAACATTAGTTGCCTTGCAGCCGCCAACCCAGCAAGACCTGCCCCAATAATAATCACTTTTCCCTTACTTGGCCTAGTTGGAATCTTGTCCTTAATTGCCAACGCCACCCCAAAATTAACATACTCGTACGATAACAAGTAGTTATATGCAGAATCTAATAACCCACTACATCGTTCAGGTATAATATCAA